TTCCTTTTTTTTTTTTTTTTAGAAATATCTTTTTCAACAATCATTACTCTTCAATTTCTTAACATGCGTGTAAAATTTACTTTACATTTCTTCGGCTCTATCTTTTTCCTACCTACTATTATCCTCGCAATCTAAATTCTTTCTCAAGATTCCTGTCATTGCTATTCATAATAGAAGAATGAATGTTGGAGAAAAATGAATACGATAATAATGTAAGCGATAACTGATAAGGAGAATGAGAGTTCCACCACCAACGTTTCATTGTGAAGGTAGTGCCAAGCAAGTCAATCATTAATCCATCCATTTTGAAGGTAATTAACAATACTAATTTAAATTACTCATTAACAATGATAGAGTACAACACTTTAGATAGTTATACACTAAACTTTTATTTGCGTCGTAGATGATTAAAAACGGTCATTTTATAGAGTTCAATATACTTTGAATCTTGATGAGTATACAAGTCTCATCTTGGTAGAAAGACAAAATAAAAAAAATTATTACATGGTAATTATTTCCAGTATTAACGGTCAATGGAATTAGTTTTTGTTCCTTCTTTACTTAAAATATATTTTGTTAACTGATTTTTTCTTAAAATTTTTAAATGCTCTGCTTTGCGAATTATTGAAATGCACGAGCAACTGTAAGTAAGGCAATAATTTTTCAACTTATAGGATTTGCACAAAGTTAGTTTTGGTTCCTTTTCTTATTTTAAGTCTTCTGTAACTGATATTTTCTCAATTTAAATGTTATATAAATATTTTGTGATTTTTATTCCTAAACGTGTTTGCCATTTTTGTTACACGTTTGCATTTATCTTTTTCCTCCATTTTTTTTTGGTGTTTTGTACTATTTTCCCATTTAACTCATTAATTAAACTAAAAGCGAAACATCTTCTTTGAAAAGGTGCCTATTGAAGAAGCTTAACGGCTATATTCTCAAATTACGACCAATTACGATTGCTATTTATGTTTTCAAAGATCGTATTCTTTTAAAAATTATGGAACCGTTGCAATATTTAATAAAAAAAATTCGTGCCTGATCAATAGGAGCGTTACATGATTGTTGTAATTTAAAGTAGTAAAGTAACAAAATCAATGTGTCACTCTTCCTCTCCTCAATCAATCATGCACTCTTCTTTCAAAAGCTTTTAGGTGATAAATCTTCGGTTAAGAAAGTTCCTTACGATCAATCATCATATACGGATGATAGAATCGGAAAGTAAAGCATACGATATAATTTGTACTCGGTTGTCTTTGAAAATGGAATGGCAAATTCTCTAACACTAAATTACTCTGAACCATTCTTAGTTAGACAAAACTTATATAAGCTTTCTTGATAATATATACCTATACATTTCTATGGACTATTTGCTTTAAATAAATCCATATTATGGACTAACACATTTTTTAACCTAAATGTATATTGTTTATAATAATTCTTTTTGATAGTATTTTAAGTTCGGTATTAGTCTATTGATTTCTTTGTAAACTAACAAATGTCTTTTAGGATCGCGCGAAACGCGAGTAAACTTACTAGTTAATGAATAAAATAAACTCTAAATGTCAGCCAATCACAATGAGTCATGGAATACCTATTAGTCCAAATCTTTAAAAGAAAAAAAAAAAACTATTCTAATAACAAGATACCCTTTAGCTACGTTACGGGCTCAACTTCTTATTTTTCTAAATCTATAAGAAGAAGAAGAGACAGAAAACTTTTCAAATGCTATTTATTGGCTTCAATTTGCTTTTTTATGAAGTCCAACCAGATGCATGTGCGCCTTTTCTTTTTTTAACCTTTTTCCCAATGATAAGCATGTGCACTTGTTACCGACTACAAATTGTACATCTCCCTTTTTCCCCTTTGTGGAATTAAAGAGAAAATGTAGCTTTGGAAAAGTTCCAAAGGCAGACAAATTAAGACCAGTTAATTACTGAGTATTTGTCATACGCTAAGGCCATCGAATCCACACTGCTTGTAGGTGAGAGCCTGTTTCCTTGGGCTGATCACTATTGCGCAATCCACGGATACCTGCTCCAACAACCATTCTCACTACGTTATGTTTCTGATTCAATCATCTACTGTTAAATTAAACGATTAATATACTAATACCAACATAAGATTCATTTTGTTTTCAAGTGAAGGTAACTCGTGATCGTGAAGAGCTGAAAATAGTTCAGATTGGAGTTTTGGGGAAGATTAAAACATGCATTCCTGAAGTGCCACAAGATATAACCATTAATTCGGCAAAAGAAGTTTTCGATTTGTCAATGTCATTAAAAATGCGATGAAGCTTTCACGAGTGAAGCCATGATCATATCCTATGTTTAATGTTTCTACTTGTTTGAAGCATGCACTAAATAGGGAAAGCACCATCACTTGCATTCAATGATATCTCAATAATTAAGCAGTGCAGAAGCTGAATTTAACATGAACCTTGATTTAGGAAGACAAACAGTTCAAGAAAGTGGAAGGGAAAGTTCAGCATCTCAAAAAGTCAGCAAAGGGAACATAGAAATGTTGGAAACGGATAGCTAGTAATATTTTGGTTATAAATGAAACAAAGGAGACAGAGCTTTTTAATGATGAAATATACTGTAAGTTGTTTGTTTCTTGAATAGATATTGCAAACTGAATTAAGGATATAATTATAGCTCAATAAGCAACAAACAGATTACACTTAAGCTCCTAAAAAAAGTGCATGGAAACATGATATAACTAAGGATCGGATAACTATTACCAGCAATTATGCTCGACCACGGTCCAAGACATAAGTTATCATGTAAATTGGCTAAGCAAAATAAACTAAACACTAGACTCAAAAGTAAGAAGTACTGACTAAACTTTTTACTGATAGCGCACGGTTCAAAATTCAGGAAAATTGGCCCAACCCTCTACACTTCTCTACTTAATTATGATTATTATTTTTTTGCGGTAGGATGCGAACCAGTGCCGTGTACTTAACCCACACATCATGACGTTCCGTGCTCCTACCGCTATTAAAAGCCACTAAATGTTGGAGCACTATTCAACAAGAAAGTCCCCTTCAATGAAAGATCCAATCGCAGGAGGTGTAAGCAGTGCACACCACACCTACACAGCACTAGGAGAAAATTTTAGTGCCCTTCAGAAAGTGGCCTATTTTCTCAGAGCAGAGTAAATACTTAGTGAATAGTTTGTTAGGTCATGTGTAGTGGGGAATCCAAAAAACTACGGCAAACCAGCTCAAAAAAGTTTCAGAAATGGCAGAGTACTGTATAACTAGACAACAAAACCTATTACTACTAGACATGACAGGCAAGGTGGTGGCTCCCATTCCTTCAAATTATTGGTTTTTGTTGTAACTTAGAAAGCTAAAGGAGAAAAACATTCCTACACTCGTGGAATCATTCATCCAAATCCACACTCTTTAATTATTAGATTCTCAGTTTCCCCTTCTTTTTTGAGTCCTTTTTCCCACTTTTGCTTCCCCTACTTCTGGACCTAACCAAATCCAGAAGAAACCAGATTGGCTTTTGGTAAATAACACCCTTTTCCTACTACTTTAAGGACGGGCCAACAATATACCATTTTGGCTTGGGCAAATTTAGAATTCATTTCCTACTACTTTAAGGACGATTGGTTCACTATATTGGTTTTTAGCCTCATCATTCTCGTATTCTAGTTGTTTTTTTTAAAGAGATTATCGTACTTAGTGAAAAAATAGAATAACCCAATTTCGAGTGGATACAATCGAGTTCAAGGGAATACTACACGAATACAAGACCTGGAGTTGATTTCAATGTAACGGAACTCTTTGTTTGACATTATACAATCTGGACTAATTTAGTACAAGTCATGTATGGAAGTTTTGTGCCTCTGGGTGCCTAAATAGGCATCTATAGTGAATTAAAAAAAAGGGCAGCTCGGTGCACAAAGTATCATGCGTTCACGCAGGGTCCGGGGTAGGACCATACCCGAGGGGGTGTGATGTAGGCAGCCTATCCTAATGTAAGCATCAATGACTGAATCCACAGCTCGAACCCGTGACCTATAGGTCACACGGAGACAACTTAACCGTTGTTCCAAGGCTCCCTCGTATAGTGTATGCAATAATAGCAGTTATATACCATATTTTATAAATTATCAATCCACATTAATAAAATGCAGCTACTTGTAATTTGTAGATATTCTTTAAGTAGCACAATAGCCTAATTCTTGTTAAAAGTATTGGTGAATAAAAAGTTTAATATATTGCCTAAAATATATTTAGTAAAGGATTTAGTTTTTTATATAAGGTAACTGTTTATATAATTTTTATGATGAGTTTCTAATCTTAATTTTTATCTTCTAATAATGTGAGTAGGCAACCTTTAAAAAAAAAAGAATATGGTAAGAATTAATCATAAATTAACTAATTTTAGGCTAATGATATTTACAACAAACTGCTCTTTTAGTTAACACGGCAATGTAATCAAGCTCACATAGACAGCTTTAAAGTACACTAACATTATTATTATTATTATGCTATCGTGCATATGACTTCAACTTGAATTGGTCCCTAAATTCTTAAAGCTAAGCTAGTACACATTATTGGCACAAGTTAGCAAAGCCCATCAGGGGGACAAGAAGGCGCCGAGAAAGAAAGGCACCTATCGTACACAGAAGCGGATTTAGGATTTGAAGGTGACGAGTGCCATAATTTTCTTTTAATGTACACCTTGTAATGACTAATATAGAGTTTGTTTGGAACGTTTGTTCGATTCATTTTTTTTAGTTTGTTCGGGCAATTTAAGAAGTATTTTTATTTATATATAAAAATTACATCTCTTTCCTAGATTCTACTCGTGAAATTTCACATATTATTTCTTGATAGAGATCACAAATAAAATAATAGAATAGGAAAAAAATATAAAAAAAATAATAAACGACAAATAAAAAATTGAGAGGTAGCCAAAAAGAAAAATAACTGGGACAAGGAAATAAAAACCACAACGAACATGAAAAGTAAGACATGTTTCGGGATAAATTCGAATTTGAATTTTACATGTGAAAAAAACTTTCAAAAAAGTCTACCGGTCACGACACATATGTCTAGTTTGCGATTGGGAGCGACAGAATTAAATATTTAACTTAGTTTAAGAATTTTTTTATATAAATCCATACCACCCTCACCCTAAAGCCACGGAACGTACACGTCAGCACCGACCCCCAATGCTTTGTCTCTCTCGCGTGTGCGCGCGCGCGAGAGAGAGAGACACGAAGCTGATATTCTACACTGCAAATGCGGCGTTTCTCGAGCACAAATATCCTAAAAGTCTAGACAGAGAAAATGCAGAAGGAAAAAAAAACACAGCAATCTTAGAGAGAGAAATTAAAGCGCTAACCTGCACACCGGGTGAAGTAAGCCCAAGGATCCGAATCTTAGCTCCGACATCACCCAAAATCCGAAGCTCGACCCGGTCATTCAACGCCGCATCACGGATCAAATCAGCTGCATCGGCCTGGAGCAAGTTGACCCGATCCACGACGATCGTAGTTTCGACCCGCCGAACACTGTGCGCGGGTTGATAAAACCCGGGAACAATTCCCCTTCCAAGTGGAATCCCGCGGTACATGACAGTAAACCTGGACTCGTCGTACTTGATTCCCACCTTATTATCATTGACAGCGGTGAAGACCATGTGGATATTGAGAGAAACAGCAGCAGAAGATGCTGCGGCACTAGCAATAGCGGAGTTGGGAGTGATACCCACGTACTGAACGCCCACTTGCTGAAGGTCGAATTGGGGTTTCTTGGGCTTCAAGGCGAGGACGATAACTAGAATGACTGCGAGAATGAGGAGAAGTAAGAAGGAGAAAAGAAGGAAGAGACAACAGCAGCAGCCTTTAAAAGAAGCTTTTGAGGATGAAGAAGAAGGAGGTGGGTAGTAATGAGGGTGACTTTGAAGTGGTACTGGATCATGTGAGTTATGATTATGGTTGGTGCCATTCACGGTCTGAGTCATATTTTTTTCTGCGCCAAGCAGTTGCAAGAGGAGGTGGAGAAGCAGGAATTTAGAGGAGGAGTAATTGGTAAAAGGGAAGTGCTACTTCTCACTCCTCGTCTCTCTCGCTTTGTCACTATTGTTTTACGACTTTGCTTTGCTTTAGGACTTAGGAGAGAGAGAGAGAGAGAGGGGAGAAGGCCGAGATAGAGACAGTGTGTAGTGTGACTTTTGCGTATGTGGTTTGCTTGGAATTTTAAAAAGGTCGCTTCAAAGTGGAGTAAACTTTGACATGGCATTATTGCCATTGTTGTGTTTTTTCTTTCAATTTCCTTTAACACTTCCACTGCTACTAATAGCAGTAGGCCCAGCTAATAATAGCATTTAGTTCTAAAATTTTTGTAGTTATGATCATCCCACATCTTTGAAGTTAAATTAGTTTAGATTTTCTTAATATTTTAAAATTAAAATTTAGATATTCGAAAACTATACAAAAAGTATTATAATTTGTAATTCTCTCATATCAATATGGTGAAAATATACATGTTAAAACGTTGGTCAAAGTTTATGCAGTTTGACTCTCGAAAAATAAAACATGACAAGTAAAAGTGAACGGATATAGTAAAAATTAACAGAGGGAAATGTTTTGGATAATCTAAACGAGCATACTATATTTACATTAGGGGTGTACAAATCGAACCGGAAAAACGCACTAAATCGAAAAGTCAAACCAAACCGATGAAAAAACCCGACTAGGTTTGGCTTGATTTGGTTTGGTATTGAGTAAAAAAATCCAAACCAAACCGACATATAAATATATAATTTTTATATATACTTTTAAGAAGTTTTATACAACTTTCTTTAAAAAATGTCTAGAAATATTTGAGATTCTCTTATGGGATGTAATATTTAGTTAAATATGAAGTGCTCCATTTTTATTAACTTTAAATAATGGGTTGTATGATCACTTTCTTATCAAGTGTTACTGAAATGCGTCAATCTCTTTGTTCATTCATATTCATACGTCAAGATTTATTGAATTCTTATATCTTTTTCGAATTTGAAGTGGTATTTCGATAGTTTAAAACTAAATAGGACATACCATTATTTAGGTATCATATTAATTTTTATTTTTAATTATTAAATTCGGTTAACCTTAAAAGTGTACATCAACGAAAGACGACTAAAAAATAGTATCATGTTTTACTAAGAAAATTCTCCCATAAGAATATTTTAATAGATTATATGTTTGTCAATTTTTTAATTTTTACTGAACATATATTTAGTTATAAAAAATTTAACAAAGTAAGATTGAAATAATATTATGTAACAAAAAACTCGAAAAATCCAACAAAATCAAACCAATCCAAACCGATATAATTGGTTTGGTTTTGATAAAAAACAAACCAACCCGATCCATATACACCCCTAATTTACATAGCTAATAAAAAAATTAAAAAATGTCCAGATGAAAAAAGATGAAAAAAGACTAACAACTAAAATTTATAACACTAAAACTTGAACTCTGGGCTTTTAATCATTAATTTATCTTTCTGAAAACAATTTAAATATTTTGGTCTTTTGAGTATTGTTAAAGGTTGAAATATTTTTATTATTTTAAAGTTTAAACCATAATTTTTGGAGCAATTTAATTTCGTTTATTTAGAGGGCCAGCACCACATACCACAACGAGTTGATGTGCAAAGGATGTACGGAGGGCACGCACTATAGCTTCAACATGTTCATATGAATTTAGTAGTAGTAGTATTTGGTATATTGAGCATGAATATATCTAAAAAATGATATATATATATATATATATATATATGGGGTCCATCCCATAAATTAAGGAAGATAACTTTCTTCATTTGATTGACAACCATCTTTTCTTTTGCATTGTCAAAAATGGTAGGTTGTAGGAGGAAAATGTCAAATTGTTAGGCGGAAGAAAGAAAAATTTGCAATGCAAATTTTCAACCAATCCTTCATTCTGATTGGTTGAAGAGGTAGGCTATTTCTCATATAAAAGGAGAGCTTTGGCTTCTTCATTTCACCACACAGAAAGAGAAGCAACACAATAGTTGCAGAGAGTATTTCTCAGGCATTGTGAGAAATAGACCGTGTAGAAGAAAATAAAAAGTGAGCGATATTGTAGTGAGGTGAGAATATCAAAAAAGGTTATTTCTTTTGAGCGTTGTAGTGGTCTTTGGAGTATTTTACTCGAACCTACAAAGTGTAAAATTCCTTGCTATAGTGATATTAGTTACTCGTCTCGGGGGCGTGGTTTTTTCCCTTATTCAATAGGGTTTTACACGTAAAAGTGTTGGTGTCGTTATCACTATTTTATTTTTGTTAATTATCATATCTCAGTGCTACATTATTATTCCGCTTTTATTATTGTGAATATTATTTTTGTGGGTGGTTTATTCCCAACAACTGGTATCAGAGCACATGTTCTGCTCGTTCACAGAAATACTATTCACTGTCGGTAGTACTATACTTGGTGATAAACAAAAATATCTGGAGTAAAGTATGAGGTAGCAAAATTTAATGGAGATAACGGTTTCTCAACATGGCAAAGAAGGATGAGAGATCTGCTCATCCAACAAGGATTACACAAGGTACTAGATGCTGATGCCAAAATACCTGATACCATGAAAGCTGAGGATTGGGCTGACTTGGATGAAAGGGATGTTAGTGCAATCAGGCTGCACTTATCAAATGATGTGGTAAATAACATCATTGATAAAGACACCGCACGTGGCATTTGGACAAGGTTGGAAAGCCTATACATGTCCAAAACGCTAACAAATAAATTGTACCTGAAGAAGCAACTATACGCCCTACACATGGGTGAATGCACGAATTTTTTGTCATATTTAAATGTGTTTAACGTACTAATCACACAGCTCGCCTATCTCAGAGTGAAAATTAAGGAAGAAGATAAAGACATCTTGTTGTTGAACTCGTTGCCATCTTCGTACGATAATCTGGCAACAACCATCTTGCACAGTAAGACTACCATTGAGTTGAAAGATATCACATCAACTCTTCTACTCAATGAGAAGATTAGAAAGAAGCCTGAAAATCAAGGACATGCTCTCATCACAGAAGGTAGAGGCGTGAGTTATCAAAGGAGTTCGAGAAACTATGGTAGATCCGGAGCTCGTGGGAAGTCTAAGAACCGATCCAAACAAGAGCTAGAAATTGCTACAATTGTGATCAACTGGGTCACTTTAAAAAAGATTGCCCAAATCCAAGGAAGGACAAAGGTAAAACTAGTGGCCAGAAGAATGACGACAACACAACCGCCATGGTGCAAAATAATGATAATGTTGTCCTCTTTATAAACGAAGAAGTGGAATGCATGCACTTATCAGGTCCAAAGTCGGAATGGGTGGCTGATACAACAACATCTTACCATGCCACACCGGTAAGAGATCTTTTTTGCAGATATGTAGCAGGTGCAGTATCTTTTTTACAAGGCCGAATAGGTAACACAAGTTACTCAAAGATTGCGGGGATTGATGACATTTGTATCAAGACAAATGTCGGGTGCACATTGGTTTTGAAGGACGTGCGACATGTACCTGATTTACGAATGAACTTGATCTTGGGAATTGCTTTAGACCGAGATGGATACGAGAACTATTTTGCAAATCAAAAGTGGAGACTCACCAAGGGATAATTGGTGATTGCAAAGGGAGTTGCTCGTGGCACATTGTACAAGACAAATGCAGAAATATGCCAAGGTGAATTGAACGCGGCACAAGTTGAGATTTCTGCAAATTTGTGGCACAAAAGGATGGGTCATATGAGCGACAAGAGATTGAAGATTCTTGCCAGGAAATCACTCATTTCTTATGCCAAAGGTACAACGGTAAAACCTTGTGACTATTGTATATTTGGTAAGCAACATAGAGTCTCATTTCAGACATCGTCTGAAAGAAAATTGAATATATTTGATTTAGTATATTCTGATATTTGTGGTCCAATGAAAATTGAATCGATGGGCGGTAACAAATATTTTGTTACTTTTATTGATGATGCTTCACGAAAATTATGGGTTTATATTTTGAAAACCAAAGATAAGGTGTTTCAAGTTTTCCAGAAGTTTCATGCTATGGGAGAAAGGAAGACAAGCCAAATGCTAAAACGTCTCCGAAGTGACAATGGAGGTGAGTGCACTTTAATGGAATTTGAAGAGTACTGTTCGAACCATGGGATCAAACATGAAAAGAAAGTTCCTGGAAACCCACAACACAATGGCGTATCCGAAAGGATGAACCACACCATTGTGGAGAAGGTGAGAAGCATGCTCTGAATGGCTAAACTGCCTAAGTCATTCTGGGGTGAAGCAGTTCAGACAGTCTGTTACCTTATCAATAGGATTCCATCAGTTCCGTTGTCGTTTGACATCCCATAGAGAGTTTGGACCAACAAGGAGGTGCCCTACTCGCATGTGAAGGTGTTAGGTTGCAAGGCTTTTGTACATGTACCAAAGGAGTAAAGAACAAAGTTGGATGATAAATCTGTTCCTTGCATATTCATCAGATATGGAGATGAAGAATTCAGATACAGATTGTGGGATCCCGTAAAGAAGAAGGTCATCAGAAGTAGAGATGTAGTCTTCCGAGAAAGTGAAGTTGGAACTGATGATGATATGTCAGAGAAGACCAAGAATGGTATTATTCCTAACCTTGTTACTATTCCTTCTACTTCTAACAATCCCACAAGTGCAGAAAGTACAACCGACAAGGTTGCCGAGCAGGGGGAGCAACCTGGTGAGATTATTGAGCAGGGGGAGGAACTTGATGATAATGTCGAGAAAGTAGATCACCCCACTCAAGGAGAAGAGCAACCTCAACCTCTGAGGATATCATAAAGGCCAAGGGTAGAGTCATGCAGGTACTCTTCTACGGAGTATGTCCTCATCAGTGATGAGGGGAAGCCATAAAGTCTTAAGGGGGTGATGTCCCATCCATAAAAGAACCAGTGGATGAAAGCCATGCAAGAGGAGATGGAAGTGGGTCTTTAAAATCAAAGGGTAAAAGACCACTCAAATGTAAGTGGGTCTTTAAAATCAAAGGGTAAAAGACCACTCAAATGTAAGTGGGTCTTTAAAATCAAGAAAGATGGAAATGGAAAGCAGGTCAGATACAAAGCTCGATTGGTGGTTAAAGGCTTCGAACAGAAGAAAGGTACTGATTTTGACAAAATTTTCTCACCTGTTGTCAAAATGACTTCTATTCGAACAATCTTGAGCTTAACAACTAGCCTAGATCTTGAAGTGGAGCAGTTGGACATGAAAACTGTATTTTTTCACGTAGATTAGAAGATGAGATATATATGGAGCAGC